GAGGGCAACTGCCCCGAGCGCATCCGCGGGAGGTTTCGGCAGCCCCTCCGCACCCTGTCCCCATGGGGGACGGGGGCAAAGGACCCCCCGCCTGCCCCCAAACTGCCCAGGGGCAGCGAGCGGGGCTCCCCACCGCCCGGCTCCCTGCCTCTCCTCTGCCTCAGCCCCAGCCCCTCGGCCGCTTTTACAGTAGTCGCTATCAAATGTCAATTATTGGGAGTGAGAAACAACAAACATTGTAATTCAGCGCAGTCAAAACATCCTCTGAGTGTCTGAGATTGTCCGGCCCGGTGATAAGGCGATTAGGGGAACCTGCAACCTCTCCTGCCTTGGCCATATCGGCCCCATCAGTAAACAGGGATGGAGACAGGGTGGCTGTGGCCCTGGGACATAGGATGAAAGGCTGCCGGTCAATGGAAGCTGCCTGCAGCCTCTATCCCTCCTTCCCAAGGGGACCAACCTCACACACACCCCGAAGGTAGGATTGCACCGATAAGGAGCTCCGACCTCCTTCCCATCTCTGCAAATGGAAGAGGAGCTCTGGGTGCTGCTCACAAAGCCCCTAATACAGCGTGGAGCGTAGACACCTGTCTGGGGCCCAGGAGAGTCTGCCTCGGGGGCACTTACCCCAGAGAGGCAGGGGGGCATCGGGTCTGTTACAACAAAGCAAAAAAGCGCCTGCCAGCCTGAAGCAGGGACACAGGGCTGCCTGCCCCTAAGTGCACAGGAGCTGGGGCCAGCCCCACGGCCGTGCAGCCCGGGAAGAAGCAAAGGCTACTTCTCCTCCTCATTTGAAACCTCACCAATCCTGGGGTCACTGCCTGCATGATGACTTTTGCCTTTTTCCCACACAGGCTTTGCATTGGAAGGACACACAGACCTCAGCAGATGGTAGAGAGGCAGCAGGTTAGTCAGAAAATACTCTGCTCGAAGAGGGCCAACGGTGCCTACCTTCCTGAGAGCCCCAGGCAAAGGGCATGGGAGGGGGCAGGAGAAAGCTGGGTTTAAACTCTGCCACTGTTGGATGCTGTGGGGGAGTCGCAATTTGGTGCCTCGGTTTGCCTGATCTGTAAAATGGGCACAATGCTGCCATCCCACTCCGTGATGCTGGTGTCACTGGCAGTTGGATCCTGCCACTGCAGAGCTTGGCCAGCATCAGAGCTCACAGTGAGCCCTCAGGAGACAGGACAAGTCCTGAGTTAACATGAGGGAAAGCATTAAGATTAGCTAAAACTTGAACCGCTACTTTCAGAAGCTGGCCCTGAGCAGGGCCCTTTATTAAGTGGTCTACCAAGATGGACTGCACTGAGACTCCAGGAAAAGCCACAGGAAAAAGTAACTCCACAGATCAACACAGCACTCCTCTCCACATACTCTGAACATCCTTTCCCTTCCTTAGATCCCTTAATTTCTTCAAATCTGTTTATTTTCCTCCCGTAATATCTCAGAGCTACAGCTATCAGGGAATCCGACTGTCCCGTGGGATTTAGCCTGCTGTTGCTCTGCAGAGGCTGTTCTGGGCACCGGCTTTGGGTCCGATTTCCAGGACTGCACTGTGCTCATTCTCAATAGGGATGGATGTACTACAGCCCCTGCCCACACCGCGGCTCACACGCTCCCCTCCTCCCCACACTTCCCCATTCCTGTGGGAATTGCATCACGAGCAGATGCAGGGCAGGATAAGACAGGGGCTTGGAACAGCAGCCGGAGCCTTGGAGCCAGTTCAGAAAGCGATTTAGGCAGAGGACACAGCCGCAGCTGGCTGAGGTCGAGCGCAGTGCGGCAGCCCAGCTCTGGCAGAGGCACCAGCAGCCGCAGAGCGAGGCACGGTTACAGACCTTTCATTAGCTGGATTACAGGGAAGTGCAAGAGAGATATAAAGTAGGAATTAACCCCCAGCACACTGATTTTGACCAAGGGGGGCTCACTGTCTTCACATGCAGGAACACCCCATTGCTGCCAGTCTGCTCTTCCAGGTCTGCCTCACCTCCGGCTGCAGCTCCACGGCAGGAACAGCCTCCGCAGCCAGTAGATCCAACAGGGTCAGGCAGCGGTAAAAGGTCTCCCCGGGACTTCCGAAGGCACCGAGGCTGTCGGCACCCACCACAGCACGATGATGTGCTCTCCCAAGTCCAATCCTCTCAAATGCTTAGAAAAACTGAACGCACCAAACTTGGTGTGTTTCTCTGCCTGAGCCTGAAGTGTTTCACATCTATAGAGCAATACAAAAAAACGGTACTTAGGAAACATTATTCCAGAGGAAAGCACAGGATACTGGCATTTCCCCAGGGAACCTGAAATCAGAGATCCTCTCAGTGTTTGGGGGCATGCTAAGCGGTGTAGGAAGGAAGTTTTAATAAGAATTGCACTTGGATTTGATCTCACTGTCCTTTCCTCAGCTTCTTTTGGATTGCACAGCCTGGCACCGGCATTCATTTCTCTGTTTTAGAACAGAGCTTTTTAGAAGAACTCAGTGCCCCAACTCCACCTGAAGGTAACAGGAGCAAGTGCAGCTCAGCACCACTTGTCTTCTTCAGACAAACTGCATATGGTAGGTTTATACAAACTATTTGGAATTCACACAATTTGTACAGGAACAAGTTGACAGCTGTAAGGGACTGATACCAAATCCCTCACCTTTAGCAGTTTTGTAGAAACTAAAGTAATTGTTTTTCCCAAATAACACCCCTGCAGTTCCTAAAGTGCATCTGTGGCCAGAATTTTATTTCTTAGGTTCAAGGAGTTTTCACATGGAAAGTTACTGTCTGGAGTCAGAAAACAAGGAGATACGGTCCTGGCAGGAATTAGCTAAATGTTTCAATCTTCCCGAGAAGCCCAGCAGGAAAACAACAGATCAACAACCCTCTCTCCCTAGCCCCCTGCTCCTAATTAATCTCACTGACAACAGTTTAGATCAATATCAGCAGTAAGTGATTTCTTGTTAATGGGGATTATTAAGAAGAATCAACACCTTTAAAATGCTACTCCACGTTGTCTCCAGAGTGAGAAAGGGACAGACTTTCAGCCTAAAGTCTGATTTTTCATTCCTGGGTGGTTATTTACTACAGCACGAACTTAATGCTACATTTTGATGCAGAAAAAGAGGGAAGTGGAGATTTCTCCTAACAGAAGATCAAGCACTGGCAATACATTTGTGAAAGTTAATCAATCAAGGTTTAGCCAAGTGACATGGAATAAGTTACTTGAAAAATCACTGCCCTTCTCCTGCAGCCATTTTAAACCCTGCCACTCCAGAGCATCATTCAGTAAGAAAGCCTTATTTTGCGACAAGATCATCCTCAGAGCAGCCCATCAGCCAAAGGCCTTTCCTAACCTCTCCTTCGTTCACTTCCACACCAAAGGGAATTCCAGTGGGTTTTTTTTCCCCACCAGCTTTCCTCTCTCAAAACAGCTTCCTTTATTATTTTAGTACAAACTCCAATCCAGCCTCTACAGAGCCAGCCTCATCCTGACTGCTGCCTCCACTTCATGGGCAGTGCTCTGATCCACACAGATTTTTTCCTTCTGGGTGCCAACAAGGGATCTTTAAGGATCTCAAATTCCCCTCTTCTCACTTCCCACTGCAGTCCTCAGAAAACAGAAAGCAAAAGCACCAGCTGGGCTAGATTCTTCCTGCTGCTTCTAGCTACGGTGAAGGTTGTACTGCTGTGCCTTAGCTAATCGACCCGTTTTAAAGCATCTCTACCATTTCCATCATAGTACTGCACAGACTTGCGCCAGACCGTTCCTTGA